GAGCCGCCAGAGCCACCCCATCACCTTGTCCTTTGCAGTGTTCTTGCCTGCCATGGCTACCTCTGCTGTGGAGGAAAAGGTTTGTTCTTGTCCTGACTAATCCGTATTCCTTTTACAAAGGATGGAAGAGGTGTTTCTCTGCGGCAATGTGGTAATGCTCCTTCTCCTGCTAAGCACGAGGAGCGAGGTGATGGAGCTGCCAGCGCATCTCACGTGGCCATACAGAGCTTTGCACCTCTCAGCCCACTGGGCTTGAATTTGAACTTCTCCCACAGGGGACCAAAGTTGGGGCAGTTTGGTAAAATATACAGAACCAAATAGCGTATGTATTCAAATGTACGATGACCTCCCCCAGTAATTAGATTCTATATATGGAAACCTTATCAATGTGTTATAATTTTCTGGGTGTAGAATCTAATTATTGGAGGGTTGTCTTGATTTTGCCTCCTCTCGCTGCTACAGCAGGGGAAATGATGGCTGGGAGAGTCAGGTGGCCTCCTTATGCTCTGCCCACATTTCTTCCCCCTTCAGCCCTTCCGTCCCCCTCTTACTGTCAGACCCTGCTCAGGCTCTGTTCCCTCCTGGAGCACAGCATGGAAGGCCGTGAACTGACCTGTATGCAACAGGAAGAGGGGGAAAGGGACAGAGAGGAGAGCAGACACTGCAGAGGGGGACAAGAGACTGCTGTGGGTCTGACTGGCCCTGACCCAGACTCAGGCCCAGTCATAAATGCAGCAGTTGCTTGCCTCACCTCCCCCCCTTGTTAAATTGAAGTGGAAGGAGCCAAAAAACCACCGACGTCACAATAAACGTACCCCTGGTAACTTGCATATATGTAAATGACTCTGGGTAAGTTCATCCAGAAGTCGTGCATTTTAACTTGGTGCAAGCTGCTGCAAGTTTCAGCACAGGTCCTCCAGGAGCACACTTTGGAGCAGCACTTTTGTTCCGTCTTATACATAGTGCCAAACTATGCATGATATTAGCCCAACGGCAAAAGGCTCATGACTGATCATATACTTTACTGGGCTGGGCAGTCAACAGCATTTCAAGCCATGGTGACCCCACAGCCCAGCACTGCTCAGTATGTGTCTGTACTCCAGATTTATACCCCCCCACACACACAAAGGAGCCAAGGAGCTAGTTAGCTCGCAGTCACGACTAGAACTGGGTGTTCTTGTCACAAGTCCTGGGACCCTCCAAAAATGTATAAGCAGATGAGGTGCGGGGCAACTGAGTCCATCTCCACCCCATAGAGGGCAAAACCACACCAATCACATATGACAGGCTGAGAGAGGAAGTGACACTCTCAATCACATAGATGTTTGGTGATGTTTACCAGACCTCTAAGACTTGTGAAGAAACAGGAATAATTGGAAATGGGAAAGAAAGGCACTGTTCAGCTGTAGGAGTGAATAGGAAGTCAAAATATGTTTGATGTAGTGGTTCACCATGACTTGGAAAAGAGTTGGTGCTGTGGGGGAGTGAACACAGTGGACACTGTATCTTGTTCGGCTGGGCTGCACTAACCTATCCTTGTGGTAGCATCCCTGGCAGAGGAGATCCGATACCATGGAGGTGGCTCCCCCTTGGAGGTCAGATCACCTTGAGTGGGATGCTGTAGTGAAGGGTGAAGCCCTGTCCAATGCACTATGGGCAGGCCCTCCTACGAGAGTCTATTGTAGCTTCCCAATGGGAGGATCTTGGCTACACACCAATTTTATGGAGATGGGGGATTTCTCCCTAGCTTTCTCCTTTGGCCTGTTGGTTAAGGACAAGCAAGACTTAAGGTCATCTGAACCTGCCCATAGGATGCCTACCATGGATTTTTTTTTTTGGTTTTAAATATAAATTGCATATCTCAGTTTTTTCGGCTAAGATCAAATGTAGCATTTTTTTGCATCAAGGTGAGGGTGGGGTGTCAGGGCTGGCTCTGGCCCTCCCAGTGCCAGCCTAGTATTGCAGTACCTGCAGGCCTGCTGCCAGTTCTGTATGGAGGGAACATCCACCCGTTTGGGGGTTTTTTAAGGGCCGCATTTAAAAAAAGAAGGTTCCCATTAGCGTGTTTGTCCAATGGGGGCTAGATGTTTTATGGGCATGCTTAGCTTGGGCTGCCTTCAGTCAACTTCATAGTTGGTTTCTGTGACTGAGCACATACTGCTTCTCTCAGCAGTTCGGTACTAGACAGTGCATGTAATGCAGGGGGCTTGCTGGTATGCAAATATCAGACAATAGGCTTTTTTCCCCATGCTGATTGGGGGGTATCTTGTCTTATATTCAAGTAAATGAGGCACTTAACATACCCTGAGAGAGTTGATACTCGCTGGTAATGGTTTTGCTTTGTAGATACAAATGCTAAATCTTTAACAGCAGACAAGGTTCTTTGGGTAAATCTGGGATCTTTTATTAGACCCACTCAAATATGATTCTTTGAGTGGGTCTAATAAAAGATATCAGATTTCCTCTAAGAACCTTGTCTACCTATGTCCTTAGACCAACACAACCTGTACCCTGTAAACCTGTATTGGAGCAAGCAAGCTACTCGCATAAAGTTAGGGGATTTTTGCCAATATATACCAGCGTACGTCTGGACCACTATCCTTAAATAACAAGTGAGGAGTCGCCTCCAACTTCTCCAAGAGATATCTAATACCTTTGCACAACACTGAAACGTTCCGACAGCAGTGCTAAAAGTTGTCCAACAAAAGTGTTAGCTACTGAGGGAGAATTTATCTGTGATTAACAGACTCAGCCCTCAAAAAGTTTGCCTAGATGTGGCATTATGCTGCCTGGAGGGGAGGAGTGAAAACTAGCTTCTATTCCCGGTTTTGCCGCTGCCTTGCTGTGTAACCATGGACAAGTGAGAGAAACACTCAGAGCTTTAGTTTCAGCATCTGCTAAGATGTGAATGTCTGCTTCATGTGGCAGCTAAATGCTTGTAAAGTGCCCTGCAAGCACTGGGTGAAGGACTGCTCTAAAAATATTATCAGGAGGAAAATGAGATGTTGATAGGACTTGTGGCTTTTTTTCCCCCTAATGAGCTGAACTTTGATTTGATAGAGAAATCATTGCGGAAAGTTGCACGGTAAGCAGAAATAGGAACATGGTGGCACTGGGGGGGCCGGCTGAGGGCTATGGAGCTTTTATGGTAAAGGTCACAAGAAAAAGTCCACTCCCATTTGGTAATGGCAGAGCAATTGTAAGACAGCTGTTTGTCTTGTGCTAGCGGTGGTTTTGGTAGTCTTCCTAGGAGGCAAATATGCATATCATAAAGCCAGTATTTTGCCGTCTCTGTGTCCATTTCAGAACAGCTGAAGGGTGGAAAAGAACCTACAGCAGCGAGCCTCAACCGGGGTGCCACAACATGCCAGGGTGCCTTGAGATCCTTTCAAAGAGATTTTGGACGGAAATCCATAGTTTTGGTCTTTTTGAGTTCTCTGCACCAGAAAAATTGCTCTAATTTTTCTGTAGTAAAAAAAAAAAAAAAAAAGAGAGTGAAAACTGGCATTTTCTGGGGGGTACCTTAAGTCTGTCTAGCGGGGTGCTTTAAATCTAAAAAGGCGGAGAACCACTGCCTTGGAGATACAGATTTCCTTTCTGGTGGCAGTACATCCAGGGAAGGGTTGGCACACGGGCAAGAGGGAAGTAATGAGCCTACTGTATAATTAAAGAGGGACAATGCACTTTGGAAAGTGTCTGGAAAAACGACACTCTTGCTCTGCCGTTCTGTCCTCTGCACATTTCAGAATAGATCTCCTGACTTTACCAATAAGGTTGTATTTCTTTTTGCCTGGCAGAGGCGACACAGCTGTAAAGTGTGTGAACTGGAGTCTTACCATCCTCGTGCACCGCAGCAAACCAACCTGTCAAACTCCAGTCCGCAGTGTGCAGACGGATCCAAGGCAATGGGTCCGTGCTTAGCGTGCACGCTCACATTTTAGCAGAGGTGTCACGTTTGCTTGTCCCTGGCCTGGAGAATCTCTCGATTCTTGATTACTAATGGTGATCCTGAAATTGGGAAAACCAGGTTGGATTCCGTTTGAAATGAAGCTCTGAGGTCTTGTCGTCCTGCTACTTGTAAACTGAGCACATCTCCTGGAAATACTTGTAAGAGGGTGCTTCCATTGCAGGGCTATTTGTGAGAGCAGGAATGTTAGTCCCGGTGCCCTGACCAAATTGCACCTGAGGTGCGATGTTACCAGCCTAAATTCCCTACCACATTTCACTTTTGTGCGTTATCCTTCACTGCTATGACCTGTACCATAGAGTTTGCTCTTCAGAGTTAAGCAACTGTTATGTGCCACCCAAGAGGCACCTGTACTTCAGTACAACATGAAGCAACTCCATCTTTCCTTTCTATGTCTTTTTGGCAACCAGTGCTATGGGCCAGTTTTCCAGCCAGTCCAAACATGGTGTTCCTCCATGTGTTTTACCCCACAATTACGATAGCCATGTCTTTTATGGCTGATTGTAACTAACCCATTTAATGGAGTACAGTTGGCACGTGATTTGAAATCCTATGACTTGTTTTATTTCTGAGCCTGGTCTTTACACAACAGAGCAACCCATGGTTCTCCATCTCTGTCTTTCTATATATGTGGTCAGTAAAATAATGTACTCCTCAAACTGCTGCACCAGCTTCTGAGGGTCTCCAAACAGTTCCCATTTGGACTGATAAACAGCACTGTCTCCAGTTTAAAAAAACAAAAAAAAAGACACTGGGAGGGGTATCTGGATTCTCCTGACTTGCATGTTCATATTGGTAAAAATGGCTGGCCGGAGGATTTGAGAAATGGGTTTGTATCATGTGTGCTAAGCTAGATCATGGAGCTAAACTAAGCAGCCAATCTAAAATCCCTCTGGGAAAAGTATAGAAACTGATACTCAGCCTTATGTGAAGGAAACCCTTGTTCTTGGATATAATCATGGGGGCTGTTTGGAGTCATCTGCACTGGGTTTAATCTCATGCTGGATTAATTAGGGATTTGTTCTCTTAACAGATCCAGTTTGCTGACCAGAAGCAGGAATTCAACAAGCGCCCAACGAAGATTAGTCGCCGTTCGCTGTCCCGGTCCATCTCTCAGTCCTCTACAGACAGCTACAGCTCAGGTGAGTTCCTCTGCTGGCTTGCATCTGCTCCCCTTGCACCACTCATGGGACATTTTCACAGTGAAGGTCCTCCTTTGCCTGTGTATCTGCTGGACTGTCGGCCACCACAGCAGCTTATTCAGGAGTTGAGTGATCTCCCGTTTCCCCTTCCTAGCTCCATGGTCTTTCAGAGAGGGGGAGGAAAGAGAATATGGATGTGTTTTCCTGTCTTCCTGTACAGGCAGATGTAGCAATACATTTCTTATGTAGAGTCCAGCTTAACACTCAGATTTAGGTTTCTGTGACTGTTCATGTTTTTGCCCCAGTCCTCCTTTTCCCTTTAGGACTTCCTTTGAAAAGCAACCTTGGCCCCCCTAGCATCTCTGCTTGCATTTCATCTTGTCCCCCACACAGCTGCTCTGAGGGTGTGTCAGCATTAATCCCACTCCAGGGACAAAGGCATCTCGTGCCCATGAGACTGAGGCCAAGCATTGCCCCATGTCTTGTTCTCGACTCCTTCCTATAGGAGCACAAGACAACTACAACTCTCCTGGGTCTGCAAAATGGAGCCTAATGAGCATCTGACCTGCTGGTGTCCAGCTCCTGCTTCAGCTGTCTCATGCACAAAAACCCTACAAGTCTGAGAGGTTTTCTGCTTCATTTATAAAACAGCTGCGAGCCAACTCAGCCTGCCTAAGCTCATTTTTGACAGTTGCCTGCTTCTCCAATCCTGTACAAACCCTCCAGGATAGGGCCTCTTGACTTAAAGCCTGTAGGTTTCAAGCTCTGCCCTTCATGCAACAGGCTAATTGCATTAAAAGATGAATGTAGCAGAGTCCTTGTCATACACTGGAAAGGTCCTCGGGGCATCCACTATTCTCTTTGATGACACATCTCCTCACTGACACAACCAAAGCTGGGCTCCGTTTTGGTTCTTTGCCTTTCAGAAGCCAGCAGTAACTCAGCAGAGCTCTTAAACAGATGCATGGTCATTTGCGATGATAAGTGTTGCAGAATTCTGTCATAGAGCTGGTAGAGGACTCCTGGAGACATTTGCCGCAAGAGACAGCACCATGTGCCCAAACACATTATTTTATGCCCAAACACTTTATTTTAAGCTGAAATCTGAACCTGAGCTTTTTACCAAATATCTGTCTGCTGCAGTGATATCAAGCCACCTGTGCGTCTTTCTGGTTGTTTTTATCTTGGCCTAAAGGATCAAGAATGACATCAAGCTGGGGGGAGTAGTAGATCGGCTGAAGGGCAGGGCTAGTATTCAGAGACCTATACAAACTGGAAGATTGGACCAAAAGAAATTTCATGAAGTTCAATAAGGGCAAGTGCAAAGTCCAGCACTTAGGACAGAACTATCCCATGCACCAAGAGGCTTGGGACCATCTGGCTAAGCAGCAGCTCTGCAGAAAAAGAAAGCTAGCGGCATCCTGGGCTGCGTTAGTAGGAACGTTGCTAGCAGATTGAGGGAAATTATTCTTCCCCTCTGCTTGGAATTGATGAGGCCACATCTAGAGTACAGTTTCCCGTTTTGGGGCCTCCCACTACAGAAAGGATGTGGACAAGTTGGAGAGAGTCCAGCAGAGGGCAACGAAAACGGCTAGAGGGCTGGGGCACATGACTTGTGAGGAGAGGCTGAGGGAATTGGGTTTATTTAATCTAGAGAAGACTGAGGTGGGATTTGATAACAGGTTTCAACTGCCTGAAGGGTCGTTCCAAAGAGGATGGAGCTGAACTGTTCCCAGTGGTGGCAGATAACAGAACAAGGAGCAATGGGCTCAAGTTGCAGCCAGGGAAGTTGAGGTTAGATATGAAGAAAAACTTTCTCGCTAGGAGGGTGGTGAAGCACTGGAACAGGCTCCCCAGAGAGGTGGTGGAGTCTCCATCCTTGGAGGTATTGAAGACCCGGCTGGACAAAGCCCTGGCTGGGATGATGTGGTTGGGGCTGGTCCTGCTTTGAGCAGGGGGTTGGACTAGATGTGACCTCCTGAGGTCCCTTCAACCCTCATTCTTTATGATTCTTGGATCAGCAAGCTCCAAGCCCTGATATAACTCCTCACATATCCTTCCGCAATGTGGTTGCCTCTGACAGCAAAGGCCTGGTGTCAGCGATCCAGGCATTCCCTTCCAGCCATGTGTGTTTATGGAACAAGGTTGCGACAAGAGCACACACTACATCCATTCCTAACATGGTCTCAGTTTTACTTGAATTGTTCAGTTAACCTATTAGTATCTTTTCTGGAGCTTCCCTCAGCACCATGAGAGGCAGCTACATGCTTTGGATATATCTTGTTCTGTTAGCCTAATGGGACCAAGCCTTTTAAGCCATCTTTCAGCTCTTTGGAGCTGTGTCCACCTCATCAAAAGGCCAAGCCATTTGGTTGCAGACAATGAGCGAATCATACAACATGTGTGCACCTACTGTCAGCGGGCTGGTGAGGCTACCCAAACAGCAAGGTGTCTCTACTGGGACAGCATGCTCAGCCTGCTTTGGAAACACTCTCTTGCATTGATCGATGAAGGGAAGGTTTTCCTAGTTGTTATTTTGGTCTTGAATCAAGGATGACACCTCAATCAAATATTGGCAAGGCAACAGCACAGAGCAACCCACTAACCTGCATTAAACATTATCCCCTTGCTATAGCAGCTAAGTCTCAGTGCCTCAGTCACTGATTATTGCAGCAGGAGCGCCTCATTTCCTCTATCCAGTGAAGAGTCTGATTGCCAATCGCTGACAAGGGGGTCCGCACTTGAACAAGAAAGTCGCTTACCCTGTGGTTATTGGGGTACTTCCAGGAGATGATATAGATCCTACAACCTGGGCTCTGGCCTTGCTTCTTGGACTCTTTGGCAACATGGGGCATGCATTGTCAAGGTCGTGGTTACCTGGCCCTTTATGCCTGTGTGGAAGAGCATGAGGTGGCAGTGAGCACAAGCACCGTCCTGATGGATGATATTATTGAAAGCACTCCTCTCCCCTGTGTATGCAGTACATGTGTGCCTACCGTGGCATCCCCGCTGACACAACCCCCAAGATGAGTCACGTCATTCTTCCTTTTGTCACTTCCTTCCACATCCAGCTTAGCCCCTCCTTTTGTGCTGCCCCTTATTCTTGGAACAGCTTTTTATATCACATCGTGCGTTTGTCCTTCCTCCCTCCCTGTGTAACCACTAATGCTGATATTCCCCTCCATCAGTGGCATATACCTGAACTATTGTCTCAGCTTCTGTGAACAACAGGGCAAAGCTTTAGCAGTAGAGGCTCTGTTTCAGGCTTTTGTAAAGCAATACACAAGCTAACTGTGCTCTTTGGATAACAGTGCAGGATTTGCCTGGAGGTTTGGGGGAGCCTGGTTACACATGGGCTTGATCATTAATGACTCCAAGCTCTCTTGTTCTAACCCTTGGCCTCTTTCTATTATTGCAGAAGAGAGGCCCCAGCAGCCAAGTGCGGGCCATTCCCTGCCCCACTCAGCCCAGACAAAAGCCAAGGGAACTCTCCCTGCCCCCAAAGAAGCAATGAAGACATGGCTAGCTTATCAAGGTGTAGTAGGGTGTTCACCCAAGCCTTTGTGCTGGGATGCTGTGTTCCTTCACGGGATAACCAACCTTGCTTTGCCATTGCATTGTGTGAAAACTCACCCTGTGGCTGGGAGGGTCATCTATCTCTCCTACAGTGGCCATGTTTCCACACAAAGGGCACTTAGGGGATCCGGAGGAATGATGCATGTTGTGTCCTCCCCAGAGAGCGATCAGCCTGACCCCAGTTATCACCATGCAAGCTACACAGACGGGTGTTTCTCAGTGATGCGGCTTAACTTCACCTCACGTGGTAACACAAGCTTCAAGTTGGCAGTAATGTTCAGCACTTGTCTAATACAGGTCTGTGACCTTCCATAACCATGCACTGTGTTCACAGCATTCTTGCAGATCTAATCAAGTGGTATTTTATAGCTGACTCTCATATCTGAAGGACTAATATTAGTCTAATTAGTCTCACTAATTATTCCAGGTTGCTCCAGCTGCTTAGCTGAAAGAGCTCCTAATGATTTTTTCTTTCTGATAACTCTCTTGCAACTCTTACCTTTAGTCTTTCCAACTAGAGCGCTGGCAGTTTCGATTAGTTTTATGTTCATTAAGTGCAATTTAGTGTGAATGAAAGGTGCTGGGTTGACAGTTGTTGGGACCAAAGCCTCTGTCACCAAGACATTTGCAGTGCAAGTTGTGATAGATCCCATCAGCACCCCACAGCCTTGACCTGGAGAGAGCAACTCCTCTAGCCGAATGGTTAGTTGACAACTTGATAGGTACAATCCATCCTTGGCACCTCCGAACAGTGCCAGTAAAGACATTTTGAACACCTACCTACTCCTCTAGATGTTGTGCCAAGTTCCCTGTAGCTCATTTCATAGAGACCACCAAAGAGTTTTGAGCTATTCCCATCATTACACTATTGCTAAGTAATATGAGCCTAAGCACCAACACTCAGGGCTGGGTTTGAACCTCCAGCTTACAGAAGTGAAAAAGCTTCTGATTCCTTTCCCTAGGCTGTAAGCCACCCAACTCTTTGGGATTTCTTAACCAGTCATTTTCTACTTGCTTTCTTTGAAGGGACACCACCTCTCTTGTGGCCTTGTTGATAGTTTCCATATCAGTAAAGAGAGGGTTTTTCAAAGGACCCCAGGTGGTCCAACAACCAGCTGCTTTAGAAAGTCTACAGGTGCACAGGACAGTGTGCTAGAGGACACTCTCCTGTAATACGGTGTTAAAGTCTATCCATATGCCAAAGCATCACTGAGGAGGAGCAAGGGTCAGATATGACATGAGAGACATTTATTCCAGACTCTCCTGCTCTCTTCTGCTGTCTCTGGCAGAAGTAATTTAACCATGAGAATCCTAAAAAAAATAATAATAACTTCTGCAGGGCAGAGGGGTTTTTTTGGGGGGTGTCACTGGACTGCAAATAGCAGGTACTCAACAAAAAAATTCCCTGGGGAATAAAACTACCC